AAGAAGCAGCGTAGAGAGCATTGCCGTACTTGCCGCCCTGCGCGTTGACGTCGGTACCCTTGTTGAGCAAAATATAGACGATAGATTCATTCCCCTTTCCGGATTCTCGCTCTAAGATATCTTTAAAATTCCCAGTATCCACTTTAATACGAGGATCGGCTTTCGATTCTAGAAGCATTTTAGAAATGATTTCGTGTCCCAAAACTTTGGCAGCTTCTAGCGGACTCGTAAAAGCTCCCCCATGGATATTTGGATCAGCGCCTTTGGAGAGCAATAATTTAACAATACTCTCGTGGCCTGCAGCCGATCCAGCCTCGAGTGCGCTAATGTCTCGATAATTTCCCTGCACATTGACATCGACACCGCTTTTAATCATTTGTTCGGCAATATTTTGCATACCATGAACAACTGCCTAATGGAGGATGTTCTCGTGATCTGAAGATTCTGTTGCCTTCACTCGACTTTTCTGCAGTATGATATGCGCTGCCTTTTCGTGGCCATGTCGAACTGCCCACCATAAAGCTGTTCTTCCCTTATCATCTTTGAGTTCAGCATTCACTCTCTGGTCCTTAAGGAGCATTTCTAGAATGGTGAGGTGGTTTTTCTCTGCGGCATAGGAAAGCGCGGTGCGATTTTGCTTGTCTGCAGCGTCAGGAAATGAATCCTTGTCTAAGAGGAAGCTGAAAGTGTTTTGATCTCCGTTTGCTGCAGCATAAGATAGTGGAGTACGATCGAGCACATCTCTTTGTCCTACTGATGAACCGTTTTCGACAAGATTCTGGACAATAGAGTACCAGCCCCACTTCGCAGCGTATGAGAGTGTCATCTCCTGGGAGTTATCACCCGCTTTTCTTACACTGCTAAGGTGGTACAGGGTTTCCGTTAAGTTACGAGACTTGACAGCTTCGTCAAGCGTGATACTGGAAATGGTGGGCGTGGGCTGGCTGCCAAGCAACTGCATTTCCAGTTTTTCTGTCGTTTCTGCCATGCCATGACTACGTGTGTGTGCTAACATAGCTCTCCTATAGCAGCGTAGCGCATCGGCAAGAAGAACTTTGGCCTCAGCCGATGTTTCCATGGTGAGTTTGTATTGCATCAGCCGAGAAACGTGACGGTCCAAAAGCGACAATATCCTCTTGATTCCAGGACTGGCAGAGCTACTGGAAAGGGATTCTTTTCGGTAGTATTCGCAAAGGTGAAGCAGGGAGAGACGGTACTCGTTCAAGTTTTCTCTAATGGGTGTTTTCAGCTCCTTTGGTTCGGACTGACCATCTGGAGTTGCAAAGTGCGCAATCACCTAAAGGAGTAACTTCTCCGCTTTTCTCCATTTTTTCGCTTCGATCAGTCGTTCGGCTTCAGACCTGACATTGGAAAGCGCATCCGCGGCTATTGGTAGTAGGTCGTGCCGTTTCAGGGCTGGTAATATGCAACTGAATGCGTCTCCTGTGGATCCCAGCCGGCTGCTGGTGAATGCTTCTAAAATCGACGAGATGTTGTTGTTCACTTGATGAAGGGTTGCCGGTTCAATCAATGTTTTGCCTCCAATATTCTCGACCATACGTAAAGCTGCCACCAGAAATAGCACATAAATATCCTGAGCGCAAGCATTGACGAGCGAATTCGTAGTTGAAATTTCCAGCACCTCAAATTTGTCTTGAAAAGGATGATCTGCGGGAAAAATGTACCATCCGAAACGCCGCTGTCCACTGTAGTTCGGATTTTCGAGTGGATTATACAACTTTATTTGTGTTGAATTGTGCTTCCAATAGGAAGGAGCTGCCTATGTGGACTCTCTGATAGTGTTGTCCCCATTCCTCCACCATAGGTCGAAGTCGACCTGGTCATTTTTGTCCAGAGAAAGAAGTCGGCTGATATCTTCAGTTCTCTGCCTCTTTCGGCATTTCAAAGACCAAAGCCAAAGCCCGAGGGCTGCCTCGATCTCCGAAATGTTTGCTCGCCAAATGTTCTCCCGCACCCCAGACTTGGATTTCTCACGCTTTAGTGACAAGTAAACGAGGCAATCTTCTGTTTTATCGTCCGAGTAAGTCAAACAAGGAAGAGGCCAAAAGAGAAAATCGGCTTCGTTCCATTCTTCAGAAAGTACAACGGGAGTGGCAGATCTTTCGTCGAAAAGAATTTGTGTAGTCTTTTCCACCGCCTGAGCCACGGCTCTGGCAAGATGGCGTACCGCAATTTGATGGTCATCCTAAGCACTACTTCCTTGAGCCTGGTCTAAGCTGAGTCTAGTCAACTCTCCAAGTCGGGCCCTGAAATAGAAGTGTCTTGTAGCAGTCTTTAGTGGTAAGTTCGGTCGCTTGCTTAAGATTCCCTTTTTATGCTCCTTTTGTAATTCTTCTTGCAGTATAGGAGAAGGCGAAATATACCACTCCAAGGAATCTCTCTGATTGCTAGGATTCATATTGTGTCCTTTCAGCCACAAAGCGAGCTGGTCCAGCTCATGGCCCTCGTAAGTGTCTGGCTGGTCTGAGTTGGTGTCGAAATGATTTTCATCTTTCTTTAACCGTTCCGTACGAAGGACTGCTCGAATAAGGCTCATCAAGAGTGTGGCACCCAATTGCGCTACTGCAACAGATGAGTGACAAGCTCTTAGACCGAGGAACTGCAGTATAAATCCAACCATTGTGATTGACACTAAGATCCAGACAAGAACCCTACTAGTGTTATTGTTCTTCTTCCAAGAAGTTGTATAGCGGTCGATATTGCCGGTGTATGCAAATGAATCAAAGACTTGATCACCGACGTGTTGATTTCCTGGCTGTACCCAGTAGATTGCCGTTTTTCGATCCTCAGCTCGAGCCGGCGTTCTGGTAAAAACTCTCTCACCCGTGCTTTTCTCAATAAGAAAGGCACATAAGGCCATCCCAGTACAGAGTAATAGAGTTCCAGCCAATGTCATTGGGACAGCGTAGTAATCTTCTAAGCCTTTCCTTAGCCAGTGAAGGGTGTATCGCGCGATCACAGCCCAGAGTAATATAGCACACTGCAAAACTACCCCCAAGGCTGCAGCAAGAATAAAAAACACTCGGTTTCGAGGTTTAATCCCTACATTGAGAGAGAGGTTCGGATTAGGAGCGAAATTTGCCTCTGTCTCTGATTTTTGGTTCTCTTGATCTGATGCCTTGGTGCTTCCAGAGTTGCTCCACTCATCGCCTTCACTTAGGTTGTTGAAGTATTCTTTGGAGGTATGAATCCCTGCAGTTGGTCCTTTGTCTCCTTCTTTCTTTGGAACAAAATGACCTGGAGACGGCGTAGTGACGTGAACGAATTCGAGAAGTTTTGGTCGACCAAACACACGGGCTATACCACCGTTGTTGTACAGCTCACAGACGTCGCGACTTGTAGATGAACAAAGCTCAGCTTCGGCGCTTCCTCCGCCTTCTTGTGCTCGCCCGATGAACGCTCGAAGAGACGGCGAGCCACAGACACGGATAGCCGATACAACGGCCGTAATAATCCCAAGAGGGCATGAGGCAAAGATAGTGATGTCGTATGAGTCCAGACACTCGCTAAGATACTGCTTCGTTGGCGTCTCACCAAAGAGAGCGATGAGAGGGCCGAGATCGGTCGCAAGGTTGTTTGAGAAGTCGTCCCACCAGTCGCTCATTGTATGTCGAATGAGAGGAAATTGAATAAAAGAAGAGCGGAGTGGGTATTTCTCAATTTTTTGTTTTGGGGTAATTGGTAGGAAGGGCAGGATGTGATTGGAGAAGGCTAGGTCCTAGCAGACGCCAGCTACTTATAGAGGAGGCGGGGTAGATAGGGCCTGAAGTTAGAGTCGACGTCCGTGCGCAGCTACGACAGTAGCATTAGTGGACGTGAATGGATCGGGTTCTACCTGCATATGAATTATCGTGGGCAATCTTTGTACTACCGTACAGCAGGCTATCTTTAGCGGCAGCGGAAAGACGCACATGCGTGACGCTTGGCTCTGAAAACATGGTACGGTTTTGCCAGGGTTGAAAAAGTAATTTGTGAAGCCCGAGCTGCCCGTGCGTGGACTTGGATTGCAGCCTGGGCGCGAATTCCCAGTTTTTGGTTATACGTGGTTATGGGCTCCCCAAAGACAAGGCTGGAAGAGTAACCAGTGGCGTCGTAAGCTGCGTAGTTGTGAACCCGTAAGGTTGTACGGCGTGGAAAGATCGGATTGAACGACCTGCAATGCCTTGATTTAGGCAGGTGTGAGGTGAAGGAGTGGGAGACGTGGGAAGGCGTCCGGATTACGACAATGAAACACGACGGCCCAGCTCGTATCCCGATAATTATATTACATTCTGCCATGCACAACATCTTGCAAACGCCGATTGGCAAGAACCGAAGGCGCATGCGAGTAGCAATCAGCATTGTGCATTTGTGCTCTTGACCAGACAATCCTCGTAGCATAAGTGAAACTTGTGGTATGCAGTGCGTGCAAAAGAGACTCGTGGGACACAAGACATATCGAAAGAGGCATCGAAAAGAGCCATGGCCACATAGGTAGAAGCTTGCGGTTCGGATGATAGGGCGGATATACTTTTCTAACTTGAGGCCCGAATTTAAGCGTGAGTAAGGTAACATGTAAAGGCTTTAAGCATCAGGGTAGTACTAGAGAGGGTATGGGCAGATCGGACTAGAATCCGGCGTCTGTGTCTAGTTGCTAAGTCGTAAGTCATTGCCTCCGCAAGTACCTAGATAAGCGTGTGCTTTTTGTGGTAATAACATTTCTTGCTCTATAGCATTACCATTTCATCTGATGCACTTAAACCCTGTAGTTCTTGTGGAAACTAGTTCTGTTCATTCAAGTTGGGTCTTACTGAATAGATGAAGAAAAGTTTTAGACCCAGCGTCTAGGCGGTGTCTTTGTTCTGCGCGTATGAAATTACTCTTTCCGTGTAAGGTTAGGCTTAATCTGTCGAGGGACGTAATTGTCGATGCTTGTGGCAGTTCAGATACTGCTGTCGGAGGTTGTGGTAGTTATTGGGCTGAGTATCTAGTATGTAGTTGACGGATTCGTCGCCGGTGGTGGCATAAGACGCAGCTCTGTCTTCGGTGTCGATGAAGCAGGCAGGGCACGAAGAGATAGATTTTCTAAAGAATGATTAAGGAAAGGCGGTTGATAGAGCTGAGATGAATGGAAGGTTTTCGAGGTTAGCCGCCAGTCAAACTCACGTGAGATTTGGGTTGACGATGGTGAAACTCGCCTCTACCCTCTTCCGTCACCGACCACCGTCCGCCTCTGTGAGCGACTTCGCACTAGGCTGGCAAAGCAACACTTTCCGAAGCAATAATTACTAAATACAAGCCCTGCAAGAGTAGGTCGACCTCTGCGCGCATTCTTGACTCTAAAACGCCGGCGCCGCACCAGCTCACGTCCACTACGGCTCCTCCATCGCGCCGACCATCGCATCCAGCTCATTCCCGGGCGCGTTAAGCCTCGTATCTTACAATTCCACGATTGCGTACACCCCCCGCATCCTCTCCTGCCTCCAGAGACGCCCTTCGCCACGCTATGTCAACGCCAAACCCGCCGCTCCAAGCTTAAATGCCCCAAGCTCGACCACTCTCGCTCGACGATTCTTTTTGTTCCCCAGCTCTAAAAAATAGTGGCACAAGGAAGCATTTACTATCCGGGTGTTAAGCTCTTACAGGCGGCTCGGAGTGTTGCTGCGGTGATGGCGCATATTTCAGGCCCTGGATGACTCCGGGCACTGGCTGAGCGCGTGGTGCTGCACCTCACCGACCTTGCCTGGAAAGGACCTCCCGTTACCACACCTTTGCTTTTATGCTATAAATCTCAAGCGACACGGCTGATGTTGATGACTGGATTATCGCATTCGCGGGTGACGGGTTGATCGGATCCGTTGTCTTTGAATTTAGTAGGATTTGCATTATGGTTCTTCAGCCCAGGTTTTGCGGTGTATGAGAGAAAACCCATAGTAGATGTTGCAACATAGAATATACACATGTTCGTTTTCGGATTCGAGGACTTTCTTTACTGGAAGCAGATGGACGATTGTTGTTGTGGTTGGTAAAAATGGAATTTTGCGGAAAAGCTGAACTCCTCCGGGTAGCTCTGCCGCCCTCAAATGGTTGGTAAGGAAAGCGATCGGTTGCGCTGCTATAATGGCCAACACTCAGCAAGCAACTAAAGCTGTTTCCCAGGCCAATAACCGAGGCACTTGGAAGCCTACTACTGGCTTCTATAATACCCGCATGCTTATGGTTGTGCCGTGACGTGTTTTGAGGATCAATTCAGGCCTAAATTTCTACATGAACCGATTACTTAACATAACTGCATCAGTGTTTCCATCCAGCCTGCAGAGGAAGCCTTGTATAAGCATAAGCAGTTACTTGTTATCTGCGTGGCGGCGCATATGCAGAAGCAGCAGGACGTTTCTCGCAAATAATCACTGTAAAAACGGATTGATTGCTTCATGATAAATTAAATCAAACGGGAGCAAACTTTGGCCATGCGCATTGCAGATAAAGACGGACTTATGGAAGCAATCGGAAATTGTTTTCTGTTAAGAAAAGCATGTTAGGTGGGTGTTAAAGCAAGAAGGGTTTTTATAAAAGTACCCACTTCTCCACCCGAAAGCATTCCTTCTCCCAACCACTTTCCCAAACCCGTTTTGTTCGCATTGGATCGCGACTCGTAACTCTACCTTTCGTTCACCGCGAACACCGGCTATGGCCCCAAGCCACCCATTCCCCACTCCGCCAGTCCTATCGTCTCCAAGCCAGGAACCCACCGCTCACGAGCAGTACCAGGACCAATAGGACCAGCATCAAACGTTGCAGGACCACCATACCATGTCTTCAGTCGCCGATCCCCAAGACATCCGCGCCGCAATTAACACTATACCTACCTAAAACATCCCGAAGGCGGACGCAAGCGTGAATATAAACAGTTCCCACCAACGCACGGCTTCCAGCCAGTAGCAGCCAGATTCAACTACTTAGAGCCATGAACAGGTCTCTTCTCTCTAGGAATAGCAACAGGAGCAGCAATTCGAGTACACCACGCCGTCCATCGATATCCGCGCTGGGATAAACACTTTACCCACACCGGGCGCTCAGTTCCAGATAATCCGCATACCCGTAACCGCCGCGGCGCGATTGTAGAACTTCTACGGGACGAGTATGAAGAGGCGGCGCGCAAGCATATGGAGTTAGAGTCGCGTGCAAGGGACGATATAGCTGCTGGCGAAGTTAAACAAGTAGAAAATTCTTTCGGAAAGGTTGCGGTCGGCCAAAAGATACTCTTGCCCCTAAAAGATATAAAGCACTAGGCCGATGTGAAGGATTGGCCTAGGAACTCGTCGTAGTATTCGAGCATGAGTACGCCAAGCTCATCGGTGAGCTGGCCGCCAGTTCCGTAAGTACTTGCTTAAATACTTATACATGTGGAGTATTCAGCGGCTGATAAAGTAGTCGTCGTTGCAGCGGTAACGATAGCGACGGCACTGGCGATGAGAATAATGGTGAGGCTTCTGTTAGGGGGAAGGTTTTAGTGAAGGACGAAGCTTCTGCGAAGGAAGAGTGTAAAGGAAGAGACTTTGAAGGAGCCTTGGTGAAGGATGAACATTCTATCAAGGACACCAAGGGCGAACCTGACTACAAGGGAAAAGGTAAGTTAATAGGCCATACTCAAGACATTTTCAAACGTGAAGTTGACAAGATGATATAGACCACCTTCCCCAAAGGCGTAGCGCGTTAACCCCGGATGATGCGTCGGGATCACTAATAGAGGCGGACGAAAGAGCTCTGAGAACATGGCGGTTCGTGACGGGCTGAGAGTGGGATGGTGCGAGAGGCATATTGAGTGTATTGAAGTAAAGTTAGATTCCCAGACTCGAGAGACGAGGCGTCGATGATCCGGTTACAGAGTTGGAGCCGAATAGAAAAAGCGGAGAGGCGACAGTATTTATCGGGGCATGGAGAACTAGGCTTTACAAACAGCAAGCTTGGCGAAACTCTCCAGTACAAGACTCGAATGGATCAGGATTTGGTCAAAAGGAAGGGAAAGCAAACTGGATAGTATTTTACAACCAGACAGGTGGACGAAAGCAACACAAACACCTTAGGTACAGTACAGCCTAAACCGAAGACCCCATGGCCAGGCTCTTACTGTTTCAAATCACGAACCGACCCACCTAAAGACGATGAAAAGACCATCACATTACAAGCCACAAGGTCAGTTAAGAATCTTCCAAGCCATGTACGGGTTCAGCACTCTCAGCAGCTTATATCGCACGTCCAGGATCGTCCACATCTATGCCAAGATCTTCCCCAATGAGGCGGATCTCGCTGTTGCACGTCCTTCTTAAACAGAACTTCAGAAGTTAAGCAGATGGGCAACGGTCACAAACGGGCTCGTTGCAGTCGCTAGGCGAGGGAGGACAGGTTTGGATACAGGCAAGCCAGTAGCCCAGGCAGCTGCGCAGAAATGCGCATGCTGCGGTGAACCTGACGTCAGGTCCTGACGTCCGGTACTCATTCGCGCTGGCCACATGCGCAGTTACGCACTGGTTCAAACCGTCACAGCACTGCAAGCCGCACGCGGTTTAAGCGTTCGATGGGATGAGCCGGACTATGCACGTAAACATGAATTGGCCACTCATCCAGACAGGCAGGCGGGGCCATTTCCTACAGACGACGGTGTAGGAGGCGAGGTAGGGAATATGAAGAAGTCGTAGTCACAGCGGGCAGCCTGGTCCACGGTGTGGTTCCAGGGAGTCCTGCTCCAATTACTCTACCAGTTCATGAGCGGGAATGTCGCCAGGTAAGGAGGGTCTGAGAAGCAGGGTCGAGAGATGGTAATGTCGTGTCGCTGGAGCTAATTTTCGACGGGGCGTGTGTACAGATGGGAAGGTGACAGAGGCGTAAGTCATGCAGCAGTGACGTTGCGGTGCTCATTTTGCGAGCCATTTGATCTTTGGTACAGCGGGCAGCGTGTTCTGTTGCTGCTAGATGTTGTTAACATTTGCGGGCCTGGCCTTTAGCCTTTCTTTTGCCAGAGCCCGTCTGGCCGACACAACCAGCTGTGGAAGACGTAGCAGCAGGGGCGGCACTGCCAGAAACAGCACCAGCAGGTCTTTCGGCAGTCACTCTCCAGGCCCAAAAGCCACAGTCACCTGCACAGCAATCTCCCCGCCTTCCCGGCCAGCTCCACGCGATCGGCGCAGAGACCGGTCGGCTCCCCTACCTCGCACCGCCGGCGTTGTGTCTGACGTAGCAAGCCCAAATTGCAAACCAGTATCTTGAAATATCGTTCCCCGCCCATCCAAGTTTGATATACGTCGTCGTCAAGCACCTTTTACAATGGCTGCATGTACCGAAGCTAAATGATCCGGTATTCACGAAGCGGCGCAGCTTGCAGGTCTCAGGGACGCGAAGCTGTCAATATCTGATTAGTAAGCGTTCAATTCGCATTCCATCTCGGCAACAGAGCCCCGGTCTGCCTCGAATCGATTGTAGCTGCAGATCGTGGGGCTAGTAAGGGAAGAGGGACGTAGCAAGATGGTGGGCGCGGATAGTCGGTGATGCTGCGGACACCTATCCACACAGCGCTTGCGGGGGATCGGCATGGGTCACGCCTCCAGCCGCACGAGCCGCTACCGCCATCCATCAATCGATTGTTGACCCTCCACCATCCACCTTCACGAGAGCGTACGCGACCTCATGCTCGCCCACGGCCGCCGCTAGCTGCTGCTCGACGATGGCCGCGCCCACGCCGCCGAGCTCGTCTCCGCTGTTTCGCACGCCCGAGTCCGCCGCATCCAAGGCCGCTCAACCTCTTCCGCGACCGTCGCTCCCGCTGTCGCCCAGCTCGCCCGGCGACGACTTCGACCCAGCCAAACCTCAGTCTGTCTCCATCTCAAAACTCGTCGGTATATTCAAGGAGATACGGCAGGGTTTGTGGAAGCATCCGTCGCCGGGCTGGGCCAAATACCGCGTCTCGGTCGAGGCGTATCTCGAGCTGCTACAGCGCATCGCCAACGATCGCGACGACTCCTTCGTTGGCTGGTTCAACGACAAGGCTCGCTACGACTATAACAGCGCCAAGGAGGAACTCATTCTTCGCATAGCCCCTACCCCTCTCCATGACTGCTTCTGCGCTTTCGTGGTCAAGCGGATCGAGGATAAACTGGCTGCCCTAACCGCCCAACACCCTGTGGAGCTAGGCCCCGCACTCGTAGGAGTGCGTCCTTGCAGCACCGCCCGCGTCCGCTTTGACGCCTCCGACACGGACACGGACACCGACGAACTCAACCCCGACGCCGACCCATTCACATCACCCTCACCCGCCTCATCGCCGACGTCGAGTCCAGACCAAAAGTCCCCAGACAATCAGTTCCAGCACAACCTGGCACACTGGCCATCCATCGTCTTTAAGGTTGCCTACAGCCAGAAGGCCGAGGACCTTCCCAAGGTCGCCGACGACTACATCTGCCTAACGGGCGGCAACATCAGTGCCGTCGTCGGGTTGAAGGTCGACTACACGCCTCCCCGGGAAAAGGCACAGGCACGCGGCATAAAGGCGCTAAAACCTCCGTCGAAGCAGGGACACGTTATTATGTGGCGCCTCCAGGAGTTCACAGAGACGTCCAATGGCGAGGAAATCCCCTACAAGGAGGTGACTGCAGTAACAGAAGAAGTACGCTTCCCTTCCCACTCTTCCTTCCACGTACGTCTTTCAAACTCCGAACTAACAAATTACTCACAGATCTTCCGTACCGCCACCGGCCGGTGCATTCCCGGCACCCTCAGCCTCCCACTCACCGACTTCCTCCCCCCAGTCGTCCTCGATGTCTACCCACAAGCGCGCGCCCTCACAGAAACGACTACCGTCGACATCACACACGCGGAGCTCTGCGCGGAGCTCGCCGACGCAGAGGCGAGAGACAGGGTCAGAGCTCGTGGAAACGGGTTGAAGGCAGACGCGGACCCACTGATTCGGAAGCGGAAGCCGGAGGAGGTCGACGGGAGGGAGAAGAGGAAGAATGTAAGGGTGGAGAGGGCGGATAAGCCGTATAGGGGGAGGGCTTGAGGCTAGGAAGGTGGTGGTTATTCTTTAGAGTTGGATAGGACGAGTACTTGTGTTTTAAATACCCCGGGCTTGGTTTTATACCCATGTTTTATACCCATAACTAGTCGTTCTAAAGCAGAGGCAACCAAGAAGCGTTTAAACAAGTATCGCGAGGCCAGCGAGGCCGAGGATACCGAGGACATGCGTCTCACTTCGCTTATGAACCTTGCTTGTGGCTGTAGTGACAGGTGGAAAGGCCGCATGAGAAAAACATATTCCCGAAGCTTCAACAAGCAACACGCAACGACGTGAGCTGTAATGGCATAAGTGTTCCATTCGTGAGCTGCGTAGAGATGAGCAAGGACATGATGGCACGGGCCTAAGCAGCGAGCCAGGTCGAAGGCGTGGGCGTGACTTACAGTTCGAGCCGTACCTCGCCATGCGCCGACGAAGATCACGCGAAAGGCTTATCTAGTTCTGAAAGGATGATGTGGTCTTGCGATTATCTGATTTGAATAAGGCACCTGTGAAGCCGCGAGGCGCGTGGGCGTAACTTGACTAAGGCTTGACTTGGGCGGAAGTGTAGGCGATTCGAAAGCTTAGTCTGTACTCAAAAATGCGAGATGCCCGCTGTCAAGCACGGTAAAGGCGTAAATGGCATCGACAGTTATCGCAAGTTTCGCGTTGGAAAGATAGCTGTGGTTGTCAGGATTTGAACGAGCTACCTCTTGAGGAGCTGTGAGTGCACGGGTACCTATGAATCGGCAATGCCGCGGTGAGGCGAAAGTGCGGGCAGTTTAAGCATTCTCTGGTTTCACTCTGAGGTAGTTGCCTGATGCCTAAGAGGAATTTCAAGAGTAGATAATCAGATACGTCTGAAGCGCGAGCAGTTGAGAGCTTGGGCTGGTGGGAGCGCAGGCAGGAGGGGAGGACATCGTGAACTTGCGTCTCTCGGTCTTTGCGTTATACGCTGTACATGTGGTGACAGCAGAGAAAAAGGCATGTTGAGAGATGGACCTCTAAAGTTTCAACAAGGTACAACGACGTGAGTTACAACGGCGTGAAAGGTGCTTTTGAGATAGCCTATATCCGTAGCACGCAGGTAAGTATGCTTCTGACGAGCTGCTTACTTCTTTCCGGGTGTGACGATGACCGTGGACCAGGCCGATTAACCCGCTCGCTCGCGTTACCACGCCCCTTCCTGATCCTTTAATCTCTACTGCCTTAGTGAAGCCCTTCCCTTTGGCCCCTTCCTTTCCGCCCAACTATCCGTTACACCGAGCTAATGCCTCGACTGGCACAGGCACGAAAATGGCAGTAGAGCCAGGCGCACTCCGCACGCTTCTGCGGGACAGCAGCGCGCGGCAACGGAACGTAACGACGGCGGCGCGGCGCGCGCTCTTTGTGAAGGCAAAGGGGAGGGGCAGCAGTGAGCTACCGGGGGTTAGTTTCTGGAGGGCACGGCGGCGGGGGGACCCGGTGTTTTTTGGTTGGTTGGCTGGTAGTGATCGATTGGACGCGTTGGGGCGTGCGTGCGTGCGTGCGGCGCGGCGCGGTGCGGGAGATGCGTGAGTGGTGCGTGTGTGTGGTGCGCGATGATGTTGCACTGACGTGTAGAGTGGGCTAGGGTTGGGCTTAGGTTGCTTGGTTTGGGTTGGGAGTGCGTGGTGGTTGTCGAGTGTGAGTTTGGTGCTGGGTAGGGCAGGGGCGGTGGTTGTGTGTTGGGGATTGTGGCACGGAGAAGCTGTCTCGTATGGGGATGGGCTGGGTAGTCGGGTCGGGAGGTATTTGCAACAGAGTATTGGAGTCGAAGAAACTAAACTACCTAAAGATTTCGTCCGACCCCTTGAGATCTGGGATCGGATGAATGACGGTGTAGATGATACCACGGCTACACAATGTTTTTGGCTCTTCTACAAGATCGGAAGCCCTGACGCGCTCTCCTTGCTTAAGGAAGTCTTTAGCAGGTTTAGGGCCGGGGGAAAACGGCTAAACCAAGGTCCTGCAACCGTTGTTGGCGCAACAATAAGAGAACTCGACTTGCTCGACAGGAAAGACCTTGAGACGATAATAATCCGTCGTTATCGTCTCGCTTAACTCGTATAACACCGTAAGGATGCGGAGGAGAGTTACAAAAGCCAGAGATTAATGCAGAGCCGCGACTATGGTCTATCCACGCGCTACAGCACACGATCTCTAGAAACCCTTTTGGCTGAAGCTTTCCCTGGCATTAAAAAAGACGAAAATCCTGAAAAGTATATAAAAGACTATAAATCTCTTTAGAACAGGATCAGCGACGGACATAATTGGTATCTGTTAGCACAAAAGTTCGGTTACGGTATACTTGCCTTAGTGCCTATTTTAAAGGGTTTTACTGACCACAAGTAAGTATATTTGTAGGTTTAGCCGTCTCGATACTTATAAAGTGCAACAGAACCTAGAGGTTGAACGATGCAGTCTTTAAAAGGTTGATATATCTTCTAGAGCAACATCGTGGGGAGTTCCTTCACCAACTTAGCAACTTAATTGGTACTTATTTTAGAAAAATTGTCTACAACGAGGAACTGGGTCGGACGTCGCCTTTCGAGAATGAAGACTGTAGAATTTTCGATACGGACTCTCCTCGATTGATCGAACTTTGTAGTCTGAATGAGTAGTTACGGATGCCATCCTTTACAGTTCTGTTTGCTTTTATATTGTTTTGGGGTAGTACCGGCATGACAGAATATGGCCTGTTAAGTTCATGGAGTAGAAAAATCGAGCAGGAGGTGGCAGGAGTTAACACCGGGATCTCACTCCTTGAACAATTTTTTCTTGGTATTGGCTACAGTCGGCCATTTAGTATATTCCCTCTAACACACGTCTTCATAGGCGCAAATACACTCGTTTCCAACCCATTTGAACTCATTTTTTATCTGCAATGCTTTGTGTATTGGAATATCAAAAAGCTACCGCTGGCGTAGAACACGACCGGCATTTGTCGCATATGAGGTCTATTAGAGATCCCTTCTGCCTTTTAGCTCTACTTTCTCTTCTTCAGTCAGCCGTAAATGGCTGTCGATCTGATCGTGCCAATCGGTCGTAGCAGGTAGCACTCCAATGATTTTGTTCGAAATTTAGCCCTGGAGGTTTGGTTGGACGGCAGCAACCACGTACTTAATAACCGGGGACTTAGCAGATTTTGCGCTAGTTTAACAGATACCGCACTCACGTAAAAAGGGCTACTATTGCTTATCCTTTCTTTCTTCCTCTCTTAGGGCTTATCCAAGCTACATTTGTGTCAGCCAGGATCACTCCGATAATACACATTTTCAGCCTTACCATTTATTGTTACACAACAGCCTTACCCCTGTACCACTCTTTACCCACTGTAAGGAAATACTACTATCAAAGAGCAAACGTGTCTTTCTAGATAGCCGCATATATACCTCTATAGGTAGTAATAGATTAGAGGGATAAGCGGCGCCCAATTTCTCGCGCCTAGCTTCACACTTAGCCTTATCCATATCCTGCTCTCACGTCGAAGGCTCTGTAAAAGGTTTCAGAATTCTCGTTTTCAGGATGATAGCTATATCCGTTCCGTTATTGTTGTTATTTTATTGTCGTTGGAGAAACATAACATTATGATTTAAACCCCACACGGTCCTTTTCACGTAACATTTAAAACTCCTACGGCGCAGGAGAAAGCAGTTTCACCGCCTCCGCTAACAGTGCTCCCCGCTTAACTCTGTAATCTTCTAGGTGTCTAAAATTCTGAAGGACCCGGTCAAACTTATCGCGTCGTCAAACCATTTATAGAGGATTAAGGGACAACTTCATCATGTCTCGACCAGATCCAGTAGAGCGGTCACTGCCTGTCAAGACAAACAACTAGACTGAAATGGCAAACGCCCCAGATGAATTAGAAAGATCCTAAAGAATATAATAATCTAGACATTTGTGGGGTCATATTAGTTGATGATTAATGAGGAAAGACAAATATATATCAGTATCCTTTATAACCCTATATATAGAGATTAATAGGCTGGTTATTATATGTCAACCATCACCACCATAACTATATTATCTCGCTTAGCACGAACCCTGTCATCACTTTGCTTTTTCAACATCATGCCATTCTCTCCTATTAGTGGAACGATAGTCACCTTTCTGCCCAGGAAAGTCGTGTATTTAAGCAGACAGTTTCACTCAATTTAATGCGACAGCAGTGTCCAGCTTTCTCGCACTGTTCAACAGGTATCAACACTCCAAATGGATATTTTGATTCTTAGAACTAGGGAGGGACTCGGAGCCGGACACGGGCAATACCTACCGAAGCCTCCGTCTCCCATGTGATACCCCATCACTCTAGTACCAAGATACGCATACTATAAAGCAGTGACGAAATCCGTCTCGTCACCCGCGCACGGGGCATTAATATACGGCGCAGATCGCTGCACGCAGACGATCAGTGTTTCAACACGCGGAAGACTAACAACTCAGGGCCAATCCCCTAAGTTATGCCGAGTCGACAACTCATTCGGCTTGTCACTCTATCTCCACCAGGGCGCGTAAAGCCGGGCGAAAGTCTGCCCGGTCGTTAGTACTTAACAATAGAGTAAGTCCCTAATAAGCCCAGCAAGGCGAAACTATTTTGTCGTTCCTAGAACTAAGGCAGTCGAACTCAGAGTGCGGAATAAACCGTTTAAAGTTATAGTCAATCTGGGCCGCTACTAAGGACTATTTGGGCCTGGCCGGTTTGTGCCTAATTAGGCGTGATCCAGAAGGGCCTAATCGGTCCAAACAACTGCCGATAATGACTATTGATAAGGGTTTTATTAGTGTACCATGTGGTGATATACCGAAAACGTGGTATTGCGTAATAGTCGCGATGGCGCGGGCGCCAGCTATAGATGACTCAGCAAAACTAAACTTAATGCGGTTTAACGATTACTCAATAAAGCAGTCTTGGCGCTCGCTTGCGGACCTTATTCGACACCTCCGCCCCCAACACATATCGAAGATTTTGCTATTACAGCATCCTTTTCAACACCACGCCCGCTATAAAGGCTGAATCCGTAATGCGAGATCGCAGAAAGATTCAACACCTTATAAAGTGTCTTTTAAAAAATTACTAGCCCTCTCACTTCACGCGCAACCACCTAAAATGGCCACCGCCGATAACCTCTCGAACCTCCTACCTTTTAGTAACAACAGCATATCTTCGCTCACCAGCGAACCCGATGATCTTACTGCAATCCATGCTGCTAGCGACCTACAAGCGCCTTACCAGAGACGCCAGCGGGATGTTGATGGCTCAATATTCAACACTGACGTTGCTAAAGGTTTCCGCATGGTGCCTCCTCTGCAGCGCTATAAACTTCGCAGTCATATCTAGCAACACGGGTTCCTAGCAGTTGAGCTACGCACGAAGGCCAAACACTAGATCTACAAGTTATGCCACACAGTCGGCCGGCACGTGGCCTTTCAAACAACCTCTACAAGCCACCAGGCTAGGCACCTGAGAAGGCACCGTGTCAGTGTTGACGATAAGGCCTCTAATACACCCAGTACACCTGCTATACCTATCCTCTCGCCACCTCAGCGAACACCTGCTCGCCAGCTGAATAAGGCGCTCTACAAAGCAAAGTTCATTACATGGACGATTGCTACGAATCAGACGTTCAGGGGCGCTGTAGATATCACCCACTGGGAGCTACTACAGGCGGTTACAGAGGATATTGCTGTACCCACGATATCCGATAAAACGCTTCGGAACCTTATATTCGCCCTATTCGAGTATACCCGCGAGCTACTGGCCGAGCAGCTATAACAGGCACTATCAAGGATTAGTATAAGCTTCGATATATAGACCTCCAGCAACGATCAACCCATGTTAGCAATACACTCCCATTTTATTGATTCAACTGGCAACTATCAATCACCACCAGGGTGCAAAGTCGCCTGGCCGGGCACGTAGCCCGCCGGGGAGACGGGCTGCTGTAGCCACGCCCAAGCCGGTGGTGGCGTATTTAGTGCTAGCACGTAGTAGGCGGCCTGGCCTGCCGGGCTGACTGCCGGCCCGGCTACGAGATAGGTTCTTCACGCAGAACCATGGTGTTGAGGTGTTATAGCGGGGCCGAGAACGTGCTGGTGGTGGCGATGGGTGGCGACGGGTGGCGATGGTGTTGAGGGCCGCCGCAAAGCGGCTTAGTAAGCGACATAACCCTAAAACCATACTTAATCGGGCGTCTTGGCGTGCCTAATTTGACGTCAGCTTCAGCCTCAACCCATCGTTCGGTGGTGCTGCGGAGCGTCTCGCACCTCCGCACACCACCGACTTGTCAACACCATGCCTCTTATAAGGCGTGCATCTCACCCGGAGCAGTCGCAAAAGACGCAGCACCCTTGGGACCATCACATACAAATTTCGCAGCTTCCTACAACCTCAATTTAACCCTCAAAATGGCCTTCAGACTTCCTACCACCAGACAGACGTCCCCTACGGCCAGCACTATCTCCACGCTTACAACCACCCCCGACGACCTCACCATTATCCACGCCTCCAGCGACGTCCGCGGGCCCTACATCCCCCGCCTACGAGATATTGACGGGTCCCTCTTCAACCCTGCTATTGCCACAGGCTTCACTATGGTGCCGCTTACGCGGGCGGAGCTCCGCAGGCGCACAAGTCACATATGGGGACACGGGTTCTTGGCCAATCACGTGGCTAATGGCAAGCAGTACTGGCTCTGCAAGCGTTGCCATGTAACTGGGCGACACAAGCAGTACCAAACAACAACAACAAGCCACGCTTCGAGACACCTGAAGAGACACCAAATTACCGTAGATGGAGATACGCGGAGGACATCAATCAGCGAGCTATCGCCAGAGTCCCTCCCGGCCCGCACGCTTGATATCATCCGCTATAAAGCTCGCTTCTTCGAATGGGTTATAAAGACGAATCAGTCGTTCAAGGCGGCCGTTGATAGCAGCCATTTAGAGCTTCTTCGGGCAGTAGCAGGCGACGTTTCTTTGCCGAAGATGTCGGACGTCACTCTTCGCAACCAAATCATTCAACTCTATAAGGCCGCTAGTGAGGCACTACGCGAGAGGATACAACACGCACTGTCGAAGATAAGTATTAGCTTCGATATGTGGACGTCAGGTAACGATATGCCACTACTAGCAGTCCACGCCCACTTCATCGACGAAGACGGTTATCAAGCACCCCTACTGGCCCTCTCAGTCGTAGAAGGACAACATTCAGGTGTAAACATTGCCAACACCCTTGCGAACGTCCTCCGCCGCTATCAAATCAACGCGGGCAATATTGGGTACTTTGTTGTTGATAACGCGTCTAACAACAACACTACACTCTCAGAGCTTGCAAAAGTACTTAATTTCAACGATAAACACGCCCGCCTACGGTGTGCTGGCCATATCTTCAACCTAGTAGCGAAGGCCATGCTTTTCGGTATAGATACAGAGGCATTCGCGGATATTGCCGCTACCGCAGTAGACGACGATTACACCCAAGATCTCACCCAAATTGAAAGAGATATTGAGGCGGATAATACCCCTGAAACCACCCAGCAGCACGTTGTGGATTGGCGGAGACGTGGCCCTATTGGTAAACTACACAATATTGTTGTATATATTCGCCATAGTCCTCAGCGTCGGGCACGGTTCGAAACCTTTCAGAAGCTCTACAATATCGATAAGAAAGTACTACGTTTAGTACTAAACGG